CGCAGTTATTGTTTTTCATTATTATTAACAAAGATGTTCAACTTATAGAAAATTTTAATTTAATATCTCCTTTTTTTTTTAAATTCTTTATTGAGATAACTTTAAACAATTTTTCTTTTTGGACCTTGGAGGAATTTAAAATTATATTTTTAACACAATTTTTCATTTAATTGTAAAGCAATTATAAAATGCATTTATAAATTTATTTTTATGTAATTATATAATTTCAAGAATAACAAAAAATAGAAAACTTAAATCGGATAAAGTAATTGTTTTGTAAATTTATTTTTAACAAGTTTTTTATTTTATCTTTTTTTTTAATTGTATTTTTATATTTCTGTTAATTTGTAAAATCCATTAAAAAAACGTTTGCCATTTTGGTTTTTTTTCCTTATATCGTTTTTTTTTTTGTGTTTTTTGTTTATAATTTTTTTTAGTATGTTTAATAACTTTTTTTTTTAATTTTTATTTTTTTATTTAATTTTCTTTTTGTAAATATTTTGTTTATATAATAATAGATGTATATAATACGAGTATATAATATGTTTATGTGTATATTATGTATAAATAATCAAATATTTTTTTTTTGTTTTAAAACATCAATAAACTTTTATAAGGTAGTTTTTTTTTCAAATTTCTTTATTTTTATATTTTTTTTTTCTTTCAATTTCTTCTCTTAGATTTCTAAATATTTCTGTTTAATTTTTTTTTCAAAAATTTTATTTTTTTTTGTCTTTTTAACTCTTTTGTATAAAAACAGAAAGGAGTAGTGGGGGGGGAGGTTAAAAACAAAAAAGGCTTCAAACATTTTCTTATACAATTTTGTATGAATCAATTAAGAACCTTTCTTTATATAGTTACTTTTTTTTTAATTCATTTGGTTATACGTTTATGTTTAATAAGTATAAAGAATTATGTATTTTGTTTATATTATGTAAGTAGGTATATATCCATGTAAGTTTATATAAATCTATATAATGGTATAAAATTTGAGTATATTATCTAAAATCCTAGAAATATTTGGTCTGTTTTATTGTAATTTATTATATTGAGCAGCTTCTGCTCATTTATTTGAAATAAATGTGATGTTTAATTTATAATTTTTGTGAATGCAAAATTATTATTTCAAATTTGTAAGAAGTTAAATTTTATAAACACAAAAAAAAAATCGCATTTCTGAGAAGTTAAATAATTTTTATTTATGGAAAACAGTACTTCGTAATTTATGACTGCTTTTACAAATTCGATATCGTAATTTTTTTGAAGAGAAAAATATTATTTTCAATTATTAATATTGTATTCAAATATTTCAATTATAATTCAATTACATTTTTTTTAGGTTCAGGAACAGAAGTTGTATTTAAGATTTGAAAAAACACCAGATATGCCCAATAGTTCTAGGATCTAGATCTTTTTTTCTAGTATGTTCTATTTTCATTTCTATTATAAAATTTTTATATCAAACTCTATTTTAAAAATTTTTTCTTTAACTATATTTAATTTTTTAATTATTTTTCATTTTAAATTTTGTTTTTGTTTTATAAATTCGCATTATGAATACAAATTTGTATTGTTTTTCTTTCTACATTATAATTTTAATAACACTGTTTTTCATATATAAAAACAAGAGGGAAAAGACAAAAAGAAATTTGTTGACCCGTATAAAATTACTTGTATATTAATGTTTTTTTTTATAGTACATTATTTAATTGTTTTTGATTTTTTACTTTTTTTTTTTTCTTTGCATTTAACTTTAAAGTATTATGCTGTTCTATGTAATAAGTACATATATAATTAACTATAAGTATTTTATTATGTAGTGTTTTTTTTTTAGTTTTTAAATTTTAAATTGAAATTATAGAGTAATAGACATTGAAAGCAGTAGATTATAATACAAATAGTTCATTCAATAAGTAAAATAACTACACATATATATATATATATGTATTTATATAATGTAATAATAATTTTTGTTTAATTTTTCTTATATAGTTTTTCTCTTTGAAAATATAAAATTTGGCACATTTTGTAAATTTAGTTTCAATTCTAACTTCTTTCCTTATTCGTTATTAAATTTTTTATTTTAATTCATTCTAACAAATAAAATAATTCTTATTATTTAACATAATTGTTTAGTTTATATATATAGTAGAATAATAGTAAATTTTAAATTTATAAGTAAATAAAATAATAATAATAAAAACTAAATTTAATTATATATATATAACCATGTAATTATATTTTTTATATATTTAATATAATATTATGTACAATTAAATTAAATAGATACTTTTTGTTATAATATATTGTATATATTTAAGTATTTGTTATTCCTGGGTAAAGTTTCAAAAACATATATGTATAGTATGTATAAATAAAAATTTAATTAATTAAGATTACATATTGTTTACCTTTGCAATATTTTCTAATTTTCTATTACTTTAGAATAGCATTAAAAGAATATATATTTATAATATGTATATAGTTATAAATCAAATAAATGTATAATAAAATTAATTATAATATAGCAATTATTTTATATAACAGTTTTAAAACGCCTATCATACATATAATAATATTATATATATATAAGAATGTTTATATAATATTTATATATATTATTATGAAATATATATATATTGTTTATAATATTTATAATATTTAATAATATATATATATATATATATATATAATATATGGATGTGATTAATATATTCATTTGCTTTTTTAACTGAATTTTCATTTATATTAAAATATGTACATATGAATGAATAAGTAATCCAGGATATAATATATTGAAATTACAAAGTAATTTTATCATTATTTTTAACAAATAAATAGGAATTATTAGCAAATTTTTAGAATAATGTAAAGACTGGTAAAAATTTTTTAATATTTGTAAATTAGACAATTTATAAATAGCAATTAATAAGTTTGTTATGTGGTAATAATTAAAACAGTTCGAAAAATAATGATTTTTAAAAATATTTTTAATAGGTTTTAGTATTAGTATTATTCAAGAATACGAAAAAAGAGATACGAGAAGCTACATTATGGCAGTTTCTCATAAAAGAATCACACTAATAAAATGATATTGGTGAGCAATATCTCTCCGTTTTAAAAGAATTCCTTAAAATATATAACATAAAAATTTAAAAATAATAATATTGAAGCTTATCTTATTACACAATTAAAATTTAACAAAAAGAATTCCTTTTATAAATATTCTTTTAATTATAAATATATGTACATAATATTTAATGTACCTACAATTATATATATTTTTCTTATAATATTAGAATTAAATTTTACTCTAATATTTAATTAAAAACTTAATATCACTCGAATTTATAATTTCAAACAATTCACTATTACATTTAAGTTTTAAAAAACAATTAAAAATTACTGGTTTATAATTTAATAAAAAAATATTTTTAATAAATATTTATTTATTTATTTAAGTTATAGATATAATGAAAATTTTATTTTAATTATATAACAAAAATATATTATTCAATTGATATATTTACTTAATTTTTTTTTCGAAAACATCATAGAGAATATAAAAATTGATTCAGTTCAATTAAAATTATAAGTTGAGCAGTAATTGAACTGAAATTAAATAATCAAAATTTTTGTTTTTTAAGAAATAACATTACTGTACTTTAGTTAAATTTATTAAAATAATTATTAACTTATATTATAAGTTACTTATTATTATTAATTGTAATTTTATTTATATTAATTTTTCTTTGTGTATGAAACATTGGTTTTTTCTTTCAATAATATTTTCTACAATATATTTAGTAATTATTTATTTATTAATAAAGTTTATATTTTTATATATTAAAGTTTACAATTTTATATACATTATTTAATAATATTAGGTAATTGTAATTTAATAGTATTAGGTAACAAAATTAATTGTAAAATTGAACATAAAATTTTCAAGAAATGATCGAAGTTATAAAATTTGGAATTATGATTGCATTTATGGTATCTGATAAACATCTTGAGTTCTAATTTTTTATTGTTTGATAAAGAATATTCCGATTCCATTTATAAATTACATTTTCAAGTAATTTCCAAAATATTGTTAATTTTATTCAAATTTTGAAATAACAAATTTTTAATTTCTTTATTAAATTTTAAGGTAGATGTAACTGGAACCATATTGATTTTATGTGATGATTTTTTTTTTAAATTACATCTATGATTTAATATTTATTCTTAAAAAGGATATTTGTTTTGCCGCAAAGGATTTTATTTCACACAATAATTATTAATTTCATTTTTTTTTTTAGAAATGTTGTATAAATTTTTATTTTGCTTAAATAAATAAGAATACAAAATTTGGAAAAAAGTATTTGGACTTAGTACTTTTTATTTTATAAGTTTTATGTATGTATGTGCATTATTGCTCGAATATCCATTCATTTTATTTCATTGTAATTTTAATTGAAATATTTTTCCATTTTTGTATTTTTATGAAATATGTATTAATATACAAAACATATACATATTAATATCAATTATTTGCTACAAAAATCACATAAGTTGAAAGTACGGAATTTTCGAGTTAAGTATTTGGGAATGATAAGTACTCAAAAAATTTCGAAAACCTAGAATAAACAATAGCGTGGCGAAAGACTTGAATGTGATTTTGTTGTAACATTGCAAGAAAATTATATTTTTAACATTTAATTATCCCTGATTAGGTGTATTATCCAATCTAACCCAATAATAAGATTTTTAATAATATTATATGGGTTTCATTTAAAAATTTTTTAGTTTGAATATTATTTAAAATATATACTTAAGATATTCTTTAATATATATTATTGAATTATATTATTATATTACATAAATTAATTGTTAAACTTTGTATATAAAATTGTTTTTTTTTTTTAGATGTAGTCTTGACTCTTCTTTAAAGTTTGTCACTTTTTTTTTTATATAAAAGACGAAACCGGCAGAATTTTTTTTTATAAAATTTGTTTGGAACTGCATTTCTATTTTATTTATATATGTATAAAATATGCAAAATTTATATTGGGTTTATTTTTTAAATAGAAATTTAAATAATAATTAAACTTGAAAATTTTAATTGTTACTTATAAGAATTTACAAATCTTGAGTAAAAGTAATTCAATTTACTTCTGACTGATTCGTATTGAAATATTATTTAGATTGATTCCGTCGAATTCTTAACTTACAATTCAGATAAAAACAATTAATTTACTGATATTTTATATTTAAATAATTTAAAATTTAAAATATTAATATAAATAATAGATTTTTAACAAATTATACAGTATTTATTTAATTAAATTTAAAATTAAGAATAAATTATTATAGAAAAAACATATAACATTTAATTTAATATTAAATTTATATTAAAAATTATTAATAAATTTTTTTACATGTACATATACAGTTTTATATCTAATTTTTCTTTCGTTCTCTTTTTCTTTTTAGGCCTCACTCAAACTCCTATAAGGATTCGATGATGATTTACGGGATGGTGGTCTTACCATATCACCAAAATGTGCTCTATATAACAATATTAAACCAAGGAATACAATTGGTGCACCTAATAATGAACATATTAATTCACCAGATATTGATGGCGCCCATGTAAGAAATGCTGTAATTAACAAAAAGAAAAGTAAAAAAAGGGAAATATTAAGAATTTGAAGTTAAATGTATATTAAGGATTTGAAAAATGGAAAATTCTAGAATATAATTTGCATTTGGAAAAACTACTGTCCGATTGAAGAAACATTGAAATTTCTGAACCAATCCAAAAACTGATAAACTTTATGGAAAATGTACCTTATTTAAAAATGACCTTTGGAAAAAAATTACTACTTTCATATTATGGAGAAAATATGCAACTGTATTAATTTAATTATTCATTTTTTTTATTAAATTAAGTAATTAATTAATTACTTAATAATATTTAAAATACTCAAAATTAAGTAATTTTTAGTATTTTAAAAATACTTTCGTGTACTTTCGTAATTATTTTTTTTACAAAAATCAAAATTTTATTGGTTCTACAATTTTATGATTGCATTCCATGTTCCTTATTCACGTTAGGAATTTAAATGCAAACTTTTGATAGGATTTAATTGTGAATACTTTGTTATTATACTACAAGCCCTTTTTTCATTTGATTTGGAAATAACCCAATATACATGCCTATACTTTTTCAGATAAAAAAAAAAATTAATAACAAAATTCTATTTTACATTCAATGTTTATTTACTTAGGTATCTACGAAAAATTTCACAAAAAAAATTGGGGAAAAAATTCAATTTTAATAACTTAAAATATTCAAATTTGTTCTTTTTTTTATTTTTATTATAGCTTTGGTTTTTTTTCAACACTAGTTGCTTAAATTCTAAATGAAAAAAGTTTGAGTTTTATTAAAAATAACTATTTATTTTTTTTTCCACGTTTTATTAGGGATCGGTTTGAAATTTATCCACACTGGTTTGTAGGATATTTCGTAGAAATATTTTATTAACTTTTAAAAAAAATAAATAAAAGGAAAACCAAAATTTCCAAATCAATTGAAAATTTTAAGTAGATACGATCTATACGTGTGTTTGTAGTATAGTGTTACACTCATGACTGCCTATATTAAAATTTGCTTTTTATGTGTTTTTTTTTTGTGTTCAGTAATAAATTTAAAAATTCATATGTTTACATACGATACAAAGCTATCAATAGAGCATAGAGATTAAAATTTGTACAAAAAAATGCATATTTTCCATGCCTTTGAATTTCATTTACATATATAATAAATTCTTTTTTTTTTTACTGCAAGGTATGAATTTATAATTTAAAATTTGTGTGCTATTAAAAAAAAAAAAACATTTGAGAATTAAAAAATTAAATTGCGGAACGTGCTACCTTAAAACAATAGTTATCAAAGTGCTTTTTTAATTCATAGAATTCAATTATTAATATGCCTTAGATACAATATTGTTTCCTAGACTATTGTAAAATCACCAGTTTATTATTTCCAATTCAACTTCTACTATTTAGTTTTTCCCTAAAGAGAAATCTACCATACGTGTTAATATAATTTATAATTCAATAATAATATATCATATTATTTATAGAATAATGTGAAATTTTTTGTTAACTTAAAAATTATATAACAAAAATTTTATATAAATTCAATGTAAATTTATTTTCTTTACTTACCAGTTCCATTTAAATGTTCTAAACGAAACATTGACCAAAATAGGCCAATAAATGGTAATGCTGATGTAATAACAGCAATTGAAAATACAGCAGATTCACTATAATCTAAGAAATAAAATAAAAATATAATGAATGCAATATAATTTGCAATTAACAGCCACGAATATGATGCTACACGACCACAATCTACACGATCTTCTTCATTATCAGAATGTATTATTAAACGTGATATTAAAGGCGTTTGTGTTGAAGTTATATTCCTGTATTTACTTTTAAAATAACCATGATGCTAAATGAAAAAAAAATTAAAAGAAAAATTTAGTTAGAAAGCAAAAACACATCTAACATAATTTAACATGTTCACGTTTATAATGCATTATATACTTACTAAACTGTGATTTAATTCATGTATACTTAAATGTTCAGACTCATAGAAATGATGTCCCAAACGTCGATGAAATAATTTTAAATGACGATTTTCTAAATTATTACTTCGGGCACCATGAAAATTTTCATTCATATTTAAACCATCATCATCAATAGTATCATCATTGTAATTATTACTATTACCACCACCGTTAATATTACTACTACCGTCACTGTTATTATTTATATTAGGATCTGAAGTAATAATAATATTATTACTATTACTTCTATTTTTATTATTATTATTATTATTGTGTTTATTATAATTCTCCTCCATATTATTTCTGTTATCACTTTTAATATCATTATTATTATATCCTTTTATATCTTTTATATTGATGTCATTGGTGGTTGCTGTTGTATCGATTTTAATATTATCCTTACTATTATTATTAATATTAGTGTTACGTTTGTCACGACGTAATTTTTGGACGGTTTGATTATATAAAATGCTACCCGGAGTTAAATTTGTTAAGTGTTCCAATGTTTTATGTCGTCTAGCCACTCTAAGGTTAATATCTTCTTGTGGTTCAATGCCAAGATGGCATATAAATGTATTACCAGTATCTATCCAATGTCTTGCAAATGGTTTAATCTATATTTATATATTACGTGCCGATAATACACAAAACAAAAAAAAAAATTTTTTTAAGTAAAATTGAAATAAATTTGTTTTTAGTTAACTTTTTTAAGTAAAGCATAATATAGCATAAGCGTATAAGTGGTTATGATAAAGTTTACAAAGTTTTTATGAATTTTAAGTAGATTTAATTTAGTAACAAATTAAAATAAAATGCGATTTTAATTTAATTTTAATAAAGAATTTTAAACTTTTATTTTTATTTTTAGAAAAATGCATGCAGAATAAAATAAATAGGAGGAATGGATAGGAGAAGAAATTAAAAAATAATATTTCAAGTGCATAATTTACCTCACCAGAACTTGGGAAAACATCAATAGAACCAAAAACTAATAATGTTAAAAGTGAAATAATATGAATCCATGCAGCAATATGCAATGGTTTTGGCCTTTGTTTTGGATTTTGTGATGATGAATTCGCTCTATCCAGTGGACGTTCATCTAAATGTCGATCTGAATTTGACACTAATCTTGATATTGTTTTTAATAAATTATTTGGTGGTGGATTTGATGGATTCTAAATAAAAATTTTGGTAAGTTAAAAATTTTTATACAATTAGAAATTGTGTTAATAATATAATTAAGAAAAGAAATAAGTTAACTTACTGATGTCAACATAACCAAATTCCCTTCTAATAATGATAAATGTAATGTCCATAATATTAAACCAATCACATATAATAATGTCCAAAATGCTCTACCTTGCCAACCAGTTGTATGTGGAATTTTTTGATCTGCAACCTCTAATTGATTTAATAATGAACCACCACCAAAGCCATTCGATGTATCTTGACCATGACAACGAAATTCATCACACAAACCATAATCAACCGAAATAAATAAACCAACAACAGCTGTTGTTGCTGAGAAAATCTTTTGTAATCCCATTACTTCAATTACAATAAAATAAAAATATATACATTGTATCTGAGCATGTTAAATATTATAACTATATGAAATATTATATTCTTTTAAAAAAAATCATGTTAGAAAAATACATATTGAAAATGAATGAATGAGTAACTAAAATACGTGTAGCCAAAAATGTTGTTAATAAGCTTTTAATTACAGAAATTCTTTATTTTCTCTTTCATTTTGTATACTTCACTTTTAATTAGTCACAATTTTGTTAAACACTGCAGCTATTACACAGGTTAAAATAAGTGAGATAATGAACAATGTAAGAGAAAGAAAGACAGATAGAAAATGAAACAGAGGGAAACTGTCAAGGAATGATTACATAAGTACATTACAGAAAAAAAAATTTTTTTTATAAGAATACTTTAATTAAGAAATCCTCACTCCTTAAAAGTTATCTAAACAAAAAAAGTTGAGAAGATACGAAGAACATTATCATATTTGAAAAGCGTAAATTTATTCATAAGCACCAAAAAGTGTTTTCATTTACTCTTTACTATACCTACATAAATATTGTAGCAAAATTTCTCAAACCGTAAACTGACCTCAATGTTAGTTAATGTTTACATATACGACAAAATCTATGATTTAATCTGAATCTAATGAAAGTCGTATATGCAAACTCTGATTAACATTAGACTTTGTTTGACGGCAAGGCGAGTAATAGAAATTTTTCTATTCTCATCAGATTTACTGTTAGATTTTTTAAATCTAAAATGGCGACAATGAAATTTTTGTGAAAGATTTGAGAAGCGAAAAGTCGATTTTTATTTTGGTTATAGTTTTCGTGGGAAATTGTTAAATTTTTACATAAAATCAAAGATAGTTTCATAATGGTGTGTAAATAGACATCAGATTTTGTCGAATATACCTTATATTTAAGCTTTCTCAAGGCGTGTTAAGTAATAAATTCTTTGAATTTAAGAGCCAGAATTTTAAACAAAAATTTATTTTTTATAAATTTCTAAATTTAATATTTATAGGCACTCTTTTACTGCACAACCCTCTAAAAATAAAAAAGAAATCTAAATATCCCAGAATATCTTAAGTTTCCTAAGAAAATTCTAATGAAATATAAATTTTTAAATGTTTTAGTGTATCATGAAAAAGTCATTGGAACACGAACCATATATCTGTAAACAGTGAGTTGTTACATTAAATATGGAAGATATTGCCTAACAGAGAAGTAACACTGTTACAAATTAATACAAGAAATTTTCCCATTGTTGTTATTCTGGTGTTGAAAAATTGAGAAATACTGTTTTCTAATATTTATATCTAGACTTTGTACTTATAAGATACGATGTTACAACAATATTCTTGCGATGTAAATGTAGAAAAAGGTTAACATTTTTTAAGAGAAGAGAAATTTCTAACAAGGCAAGCGCATATAAAATGAAGAAGTATAAAAATAACAACAAAAAAAAGGTACTTGTTTCTGAAAGGATATTGTGTACTTTGTGTACATTGTGTATAGGTATTATAATAGGTTTTTTAATAGTATAGCTGTATGTAAATAGTTAATATGAAAATAAAACATTTTTTCAACAACATATTAAAGTGCTCTGTTGGTATACATATTGGTATACACTGCTATTTCCATATTCTGATATTGTGGCTGAGGGATGTGGAATTATTATAGGTAAGAAACATTATAGATGGAAATAATTTAAGTTCTTATATATACACATTATATATAACCTAGTCAATTCATAAGAAATACCTGTACTTTTACATTCAAATATCTTTTATATGTTCATAGTTTAATTATCTTGTTATTAATTTACAGTTAACTGTTAATTTCTATTATAAATACATAATTATTTTGCATACCAATCAAGAAAAATTAGTTTTCCTATAGTGGTAAATTATATTCCCGTAGAGAAAAACAGGGTTATAAATCAAGAATTTCAATTATGAATGGTTATTAATTTAATGTTAAAAATATTTGATCTTAAACTAAATATTTTAAAATATGTCATTTATATATTTATTGTAATTTTTTAAGGAAAATATGTACAACTTACCTTTTTTACAAAAGAAGAAATAGAAGACAAGAGAATAAACTAGTGCAGCTCCTTTTAATGGATCTTGTAAATGACATGGCACTCTTTTATATGAACTTACTGTGCATAATGTTCCAGCAATACCGCAGCATAAAGATATTGCCAATAATCTGAAAAAATTAAATAAAAACAGATGCAATATTAAGGAGTAATAATTAATGATTTTTTTGAAATTTGGAACATTGATCATAAATTCGAAAAATATATGCGACAAATTTCCTGAAAAAGTATATGCAGTAAAACTTGGAGTTAATCGTACTAAGAGAATATATATTAGAAGGAGCTAACGTTTGTAAAATTGACAAGATCATTTCTGGCAATACTCGGAAGAATGAATGGTTTGTTGGTCGCAGAATTCATTTCGGAAATAGTTTGCGTTAAGTTTGATCAGAATATATAGAAAGCTGGCCAAAAGTTCAGCACTCAGCAAGAACAGTATAGAATAGAATATTTCAGATACAAATAACTAAAATCTATTGAAATTCCTTGCAATGTTTTAAAGCAGAAAGAAAATATTCAAAATTCAATAAGAGTTGAATTTAAATTTAAATAAATTTTTTAATAATAATTGTTATTTTCCAGTAATATTGAATTTATGCAATTGTTTTGTTTTTTTGAATGTGAAATTTTTTTTCCTTTCCCTTAATGTACAAGTATAAGTGCAAACACTTATACAATATAAGAAAAAAAAACCTATGTTAATTAGTAAGTCCTTAAAGGAATCATTCATATATCATTAATAATCTTGTCACTTATCTATTTAATATAATATAAGATAGCAATTTAATTCATATATAACAGTAAATAAATAATGTTTGGTAAATATATATATACGTATTTACTTGGCGTATGTGTATATGAATTATTGTGTATTTACCTATTTGTTAACTCATTATCCTTTTTTCTCTATAAATTTATGATTTTTCATAATATAGTTTAAACGTGTGTAGCTTTCCGACATAACATATTTTATTTATATAGTAATTTTAACTATATGTAAATGTATGATTTACGTTATGTTTGTATATTTAACTATGAAAATGTGATATTGCATACCATGTAGATAATAGGTTTTTTTTCTATTCGCAAATAAAAAGGAAATTTATTTATGTAACTAGAATCGTGTACATTTAACGTACATAAATGTATATATTATATAAATTAATTACATAGATACGAACATGTAAATATGTATATTAGAAAATTATATTCATACTTTGAAACTTATGTTACGTGTATAGTATTATTTTAAAAAGAAATTAGACATGTCTGCTGTTGTCATAAGTAAATTTGAATTAGGCTTAATATTCTTTTAAGTTTTTACATTATTTTTTACATAATATATGCATATATGTATATGCACTAAGTATATATACATATGTATATAGAATGTGTACATGCTTATGTAATTGCTTATATAAGTATGAATAAAAAATATATTTTATGTTATTATATAAGGAAATGAAAAATGCAAACAACTATATTATGGTGAAAGTATGAACGAGTTCAAAAGCTTAAGAATATATTTGACATTCACTTGTATATTTTATGAATTTCTTGTATACCTTAAATATCATCCATACGTACATATTATATGCTTGTGTATTTAAATGTATGTATACTCTATGTATGCATATTTATAACATGCTTTCATCTGTATACATAAGTATTTTATTTAATAAAAACATGTTGATTTAGCTTGTTAACTCTAGGCTGAGAGTAAAAGTATATAGTATAAATGTACATGAAACTAACTATAACAAATACATTAAACAATAATTATTATTCGTTTATTTAAATATTAATTATAAATACTATGTATATATACACAATTTAACATTTTGAATTCATTTTAGGATGAATTAGCAAATCTTCAGGCAGCCTCGATACTCTAGTTTATCTACTCCAGAAAGTCATACACGATTGAATTTTATGATATAATCAGTGATGTAATTCCCGGATCTTCAGATGGCTGTGATATTCTGGTTTAAAGTGTTATACATTATTATGTTATATGATACTGTCAGAAATATAGAAGGATGTTTTAAAAAAGACACGGTGAATCTGATGATTAATTTAAATTTTATTAATGATGGCTGATCACAATTGCAAATGAATTCAAATTATGATGAATTACAATTACATTTGGGACACAATGAAAATCGAAGAAGTTGTAGTAAAAAGGATTCATCAAGATTAAAAAACAAATTAGGAAAAGCTAAAATTATGGTATGCGTATACATAAAATTATGTTAGTTGTAAGTAGGGTTTGTTAAAATTTTTGAGCTTGAATCGAAAATTAATCTAATTTTTTAAGGAGATAGCAAATTTACATATTAAATAACTATAGTTTACATTTATTATAAAATTGAATTTCGAATATGAATGAATTCTATTTTGCTATCACATTAACAAATTCAACTTGCAATATAAAAGTGATATAAAAAATTTTTTTTAAATATGATGTCAGTATGGTATCAAACAAGTATATAAGGATATAACTGAATAAGAACAAAATATCTATACATTTATATAAAGAAAGGATATTCACATTTTATGATGTCTCTTTTTTTATTTTTATTTTTTGTTGTCATAACTTATATTAATTTTTGTACTTTTTGCTCAGGACTTTTTTTTTCACATAATAACGCTATAAATGTATACGTCTACATTTTATGTAGCATATTAATTAAAATGTCTGGCTGAGATTAAAATTAAAATTATCTGATTTCTTCGCTTAATTATTTGCGGTAATGGTAAATGTTGCAAAAAGAAAAAAAAAATTTGGGTATTAAAATTTTTTTTTTTTATTTCACATAAGAGTTGTACGTATGTATATGGGTATGAATGTCATAAAAAAAAAACACATTTTTTCTATCCGAAGTAATTAATTTAAAAAAAAAATTTTTTGTGTATGGTTCACCTGTAGGTACATGCACATAAATTGCTCATTTAATATTGGGAGTTGTGTTTTTGAAATTAGCTTATACATAATATACAAATTGCTGCAAGTTTTGTTGAATTAAAGTTTGAATTTTTATCTCTTAATAATAACATGTCTGTAAATTTTTTAATAACAAATTGCTTCTTGAATTGGGATAATTTTTGAAATTATCTTATAATCTAAAGTTTTTGAACTTTTACTCCTTAATGTTGCATATTAAATTTTGAATATTATCTTTAACTTTACTTAAATTATTATTTTTTTAATTTCACATCTTTGTATTCCATATGATATTGAAATCTCTAGAATAGCTTTATAATTAGGTATGAAATTAATTATAATATTATAACAGTGGAAGATTAGATTCAAGTTAATGTTTTATGTTGGAAACATATTCTTTTTTAAACTAATAATTTTTAGCTATTGTACAACTCGTACAAGCTACTCTATAACTCATACGAGAACCATTTTACACATTCATTTTGAGTATAAAATACATAAGATTTATATAAACTAGTTATGTTTAGGCGAGATAACCTCAAATAAATTTTTAATTCAGTATAATTTTATTATTTAAAAACTATAATTTATTCTTATTATATAATAGTATAATAGTTTTTAGTTTGCACGGCTCCCCGATGGGTACACTTAGGCCATTCAGGCCCGTTGTGGTGATAATAAAATATAAAATGTTGAAAATTTTAAGATAAAATTTATTGCAAATAGTTTTCATAAAAATTAATATATGATTAATTTAATGACTCTTTTTTAACTAAATATTAAAAAATTAAGTATTGAAATAAAATCTTGATAATGAAAATAAAATTTGATAATAAAAGTTTTCTTAATAGGTTAGGTACTGAGGATGATTTCAGAAGTGTCTACTATTTATAGGTTATGTTATTTTTTAAATTATATTGAGGGTTGCCATATTATCATTCCATTAATATAAACGTAATTTTTAAAATAAATTTTAAAAATTATGTAACAGTTTCACCAAAAATTGTTAAAAATTATACCATTCATTATGCAATAATTTTTTTAATTCTTATTAGCAGTCTTTCTCTATGATGTGGCTTTTATAAAATTATTTATAAACGTATATGTATATAGATATTTTCAATTAATTATTTAGACCGAATAATAAAGTAACAAAATTAATTTTTTACTCATTCTTATCGCAAAATGTAGAGTTTAGTGGTAGTACAGTTTAAAACGACTTTGCTTGAATCGTAGGCAGTTTTAAATCATTTTTATAATTAATGGTTTTCGTGTGGTTACTTTTGGATTAGAGTGTACTAGATCTATATATGTGTGTGCTTTTTTTAAAATTCCTTGAAAAATACTACTTGTGTGGTAACAGGCAATTTCTTATTTACATTGTATTTATTTTTGTTTTATATTATTAAATGGATTTATGTAATTGTTTTCATTTAGATTTGTTGAGAAAAAACTGAAATTTAATTGAAATCAAATTTTAATGGAAAATGCTACAATTTTATAATTTAAAGTGGCAAAATGCCAATGTCAACTTTACATTCTTATATACATATGTAAATTTTTTTTAAAATTTTGTAAAGGCGTCAATTAAAAGAAAAATTTTTATTATTTTTTATTAACATTTTTTAACCTACACAAACTTTTATATATATGTATATAAGCTTTGAATTAAAGTCAAATGGTAATACCATTTTCATTTATGAAATGTATGGTTAACCAGGCGTCAGACCCTTGTCATCATATATTATTATCCATCCATATTGTTTGTTATGTTATACCATGTTCATAAAATTTTAATGATGTATTCATATGTAAACTCACACATAATATCCACACAATCATATTATATTTGAAATATTTTAATTTCTTTTAAAATATACATATATATATATTCGTTTCTTTAGTGCATACCTTGTAGATTTTCATATAAATTTAAAATAATAGACCCTTTTTGTTATTGTACATTGTATATATAAAAGAATATTAAATAGACCTTTTTTGCTTTTCTTTTTTTTTTTGTTTTCTCTTTTATTAAGGAAGATATGTATTTAATTTTTGTTTTTTTTTTTAATTATTTAATGAAATAAAATTTCCAAGAAGAGTTAATTTTTGAAAATAAGAACGAACATAAGAGAAATAATAAGAAAAAATGGAATAAAATTAATGAAATGTTTATTTTATTAAATAAAATATTTTTAAAATGAAAGTTCTTCTTTTTATGTGTGTTGAAAAGGATAACTATCTACTAAGGATGTAATTTGTTGTTTTCCCGGCTGTTTAATTTTTTTTCCAAATATTTTCATAACTTTATTCAGTCGTAAAAAAAAATATAATAACTTTTGTTTCAATATTGGCAGAATTATGAAATTAGAAAACTGAAAGCATAATGAAATTTTCGATGTAGTAAAGAACTGTGGTTAGAAATAAGAATTAAAAAGTTAGGTTTGGCAGTTTCAAATTTTATAAGTTTTAATAAATATCATTTTAGCAGATTTGATTAATGTTTCTTCAAAAATATAGCTGCAAACCTTCTAGATATTAATTTTTAAATGTTGTTTAATAGAATTTAGGAATTAAATTTAAAATTTTTGAGCCGAATTTGCTAAAGACATAAAGTTTTTATTGACTTACAAATTGTTCCTTCCTGAAGGTCTAATCGGAAATTGTTTTACTTAAGGAGTATCAATATTACTTGAGGAAAAATGAGAATATTAATTTCTCTTTTATAACTATAACGTATGTTAGTCAATGAATATATAAAATTAGTTCCTCTTCCGATTTCCGAATAATTAATTAATCTACCCATTACTGGATCGGGAGAATAAAATAATCACATTTTTCTTATTATAATTATAGCGTTGATAAAGGATTTTCAACACAAAAAAACAAAAAAATAAAAATGAAAAACGTAAAAACAAAGTAATTATCAAAATATCAAAAGTTCTTATGTTTTTTAAAAAGTGATGAATTTCTTTCTAAAAAAAAATGAAATTTTAAAGCCTTCTTTTGTTCATAATTTCTTTATAATTTATAATTCAACACTAAATTAACAAAAATAATTTTTGCAGGAGTTCTTTAATTTAAAAATTTAATAATATTAAATTTATTATGAAAAATTCTTATAAAATTTCGAGATTTTTAATTTTATGGTCTAATACTTTAATGAATCTTATACTGAAATGATTCTTGTTGTAATTTTTTTTTTGTGAGAATAGGAGTAATAATTCTTTGTGAGAGGAAATATTCAACAGTTTAGGCTAAAACGAAGTGGAAGTATACTAAATATGTCCATTTTTTCATGAATGAAGAGTCGTTCATCAAATAACAAGCGTTAAAATGTTCATTTCAGGTGAATTTTTGAGATTTAAAAGTCCCAAAATCGAAAAAAAACCTAAAAAATTATAGCATTAACTTTTTATTCTTTTGACCTATTTCTGAATTTGACGACAATGTTGAAATACTTGTATACTTAATGGGATTTGACTCTAGATTAGAATATTTCCATAGCAAAAACGGTTGATGATAGCAGACTTAAATAGCAGACTTAAATTTTTTTTTATGACTTAATTTAATTTTTTTTTAAAAATGTAATTTAAAATGTATTTAAAATTTTTATATCCTTATTATATAATTTATTTAAAAGGATTATTTAAATTTAAGAAAGATGTTAAACGTGTAATAATTATAGTCAAATAATAAGAAAATGGAATTTGTTTCTTTTTCTAATTTAATTATATTTTAACTTGTTTCATTTGAAAATTCAAAATTTTCTTTGCAAAAATTTTGAGTTCTTTCTTAAAGACGAAAAATATTTTAATAATAAGGAATGAAGAAAAGTTTTAAAATAAATTTTTCGTTTTAAATTCTTTTAAGCCCATAAATTTGCTTACAGAATGGAATTAATCCTGTCATTTTATCAGATTAGATTTTGAAATAATTTCTTTTTACAAACTTAATCTTAAAGTCTATAGTGATAATTTTGATGCATTTGCATATTTTGCTGCAATTCGATTATAAAAATTTTATAAAAAGCATAAAATTTTTTTTTCGATGCGCACGATGCGCAATTACGAAATTGTTTATGCAAAACGAAATTTTATAATTTTAAATAATAATAATCTTTTTAACAAAACAAATGATTTTTCAGACTTCTTTATGGACATGAAACAGGAAACAACCCAAACAATCAAAGAAAAATAACAGAAAAGAGAACCCCGACAGGACGCCTTTTTACTTTTTATAAAAAGCAAAATTTTCCTTTATTATGGTTAAAAGAATACTAATTACACCACTTTGTTATTTACTCTTTTAGAAAATAAAGTGGATGAGTACGAGTATATCAAAAGGAGGAAAATTGAGAAAATCAGAAAAAATAAAAATCAAGGCAAATCGGGAAACAAAGACGGACGACGAAAAAAGGATCAGTGATTTTTCTTTTGTAATTTTTAAATTTTTGCTTTTCTTTTTAGCTTGCTTTGAGGAACTTGTCTGTTATGATGAAAAGTATATACAAATAGTAAAGGATATAGAATATTTTTAAAAGAGAAATTTTTGTTCTCCATTTTCTTTTCGTTTTTTTTTAATTTTGTTGACTATTTCACGGAATTTTTTCTGTTTGCGTTGCAAAAGTATTGTTGCAGAAAAATCATGTCTGTGAATAAAGTAATTTCAAAAAGAGAGAAAATAAAGTGCCGCAAATTTTTAATGTGATAAATGTAGCACGATACAAGAAAAATTAATGTCTTTTCTCCGTAATCCTCTTTTTTTTCCAAGTTGACTTGGAAACAATTATAAACGGGATGAATTTTTTTTTTTATTATTAAGGAAGAGACTTTCTTTTTAAGCATCTATTTAGCGAAAGATGCTCATCAAGTTTTAATATTAAAAAGGTCTTTTGTAGATAGTTTAAATGGAGCATTACGTTAGACTTACACATGTAAAAGAACTTGAACTTCAATATTATTAAAATTTTATTCTAAATTTATAGTTAATAAAAATCATCATTATTTAATGACGTATTAGTTCCTCTTTTTTAATAGAAATAAGTAGGAAATTAAAAAAAAATTTAATGGAAATTTTTCTAATAATATGTTGTTCATAAAATATTAAGAAGTTATCAGAGTAAAAGAAAGTAGGGATACATATTAATAAATTAACGGAATTCGATTTGAATTTGCGCTCGGGTTCAGAATTTGTTTGGATTTGCAGTTCAGTTTGAGGGTCGGATTTGGTTCAGTTTCGAAATCTAGTTTGAATTCTAATTTGATTTCACTTTAGGGTGTTCTAGTTCGAAATCGGGAAATCTCTTCTTTATTCAAGAAGAAGAGTTTGGAACTTAAGAATTCGGTTTATCTTTGAAAACCACCATTATTCAACAATTTCATTTTTAAAATAAAACAATAACAATAAAATATTTAATTATGTAAAAATATTTAGTATACAATATATATTTACCTTTTAATTGGCATCACCGGAAATTTATATACTTGTATTGTCCATTTGAATAACCATGAAAATATTTGTGTTAATAATATTAATAAAAATGTTATTATCGGTGATATAAACAATATTGAACCATATGAATTATTTGTTTTTCTACCAATTTCTAATTGTTTTTGATATAATGGTAATACAATAAATAATGAAAATGATGTTAATAATAAACCAAAACCGAATGCAATTAATAATAAAAATATCCTTTTACATTTACGAAAATGTTGTAATTGCATTTGATGATGCTGTTGTGCATTTTGATATTCTTTTTCTGTTGTTGAATTCCATTCAGTTGTTGTTGTATCAATTAAGGATAATGAATTAGCATTTGTTTTACATAAACTAAATTGCATTGTATCTGATGATGATCTACCATTATTATTAAAACAATTATCATTTCCATCATTTGAATGTTGATGATAATGGTGATGATTATGATGTTGTAAACTATTATGATGATGATGATGATGATGATGTGAATGGCCATTTAATAAATTATTTGAATTTGTATTAACTAAATTAGTACCATCACAATCATCTGATAAATCATCATCACCATCATCATCTTCCATTTCTGATGATGATGTTAAACCAACTAAATCCTCTTGATCTGAATTAATTATATTATCATCGTGTCCTTTACCCATTTTTTTTTTTTGTTTTTTTGTTTTTTGTTTTACGTTTATTTACATTCCTATGTTTTACGTTAAAAATTTAAAATAAAATAAAAAAAATAAACAACAAAAATATGCTCTATTGTAAAATTTTCAAACTTTTGTATTTGTTGCTTGTTTTTTATTTATTTATAATTGTTGTCTGGTCGATAGTTGGTTTTTAAAATACTTTTTTTTTTTTTTCAATATCCTTGTGTTTTATAAATATCCTTTTGAAATTTCAAATCGGATTTACTATATACGTTCAATTGTAATTTTTTAATCTATGATCTTTTTATTATTTGTTCAATGGTTGGTTGTTTTTTTTTTTTGTTTTGGTGAAATTGCAAATATTTTTATATGTAGTTGAAATTTAAGATTTCGCGCTCTTATTTTATATTTTCTGATATTTTCTTGCTACATTCCATAGAACTTAAAATCGTTTATAATGATTTTTAAGAATGAAATCAATAAACTTCACTAGATTTATTATTTTTCACTGATAATTTTTCACTTTCCTTTTGAATTGAGGTCTTTTCCTCTCTATATACGCACTAATAATAGATTTTATTTTTCAACTTAAATTCTTTTACTTGATTCTGTGATCCTGTTGTTTTGCACACAACAAAATAATATTCGCCGTCAGTCGACTTTATATTTTATTTATAATATTTGATTGATGTTGAAAATACTATGTATTATCCTTAAATACATGAAAATATAGGCTGAATTTGTAAGAATTGTGGTGTGTGGTGACAAAGAAGAAGTGAAGAATAAAAATGAGGTTGACTGGTCTAATAAGAAAATTTATTGTGTCTTCTCATTTTCAAGTTCTTGTTTTTTTTTTCTTATTTTATTTTTTGATTATTTCTGAGTTTCTTTTATTATTTTCTTCGATTTTCTGCTGGGTTTAACTTTCTGTTATTTTAAAATAGGTAAGAGGGTCGCGTTCGAATGATAAGAAAGTTTTGATTTCGTAATAATTGTTTTGTATAATATGTTCTTTGTTTTTCCTGTTATTTTCCTCTTTTGTTATTTTCCTCTTCTGTTATTTCCCTTCTTTTATTTACGTCACTTTTATACTTGTAAATATGTCACTATCTTCTTTATATATGTACTTGTTACAAAGGGGTATATTTTATATTCAGAGATCTATTTTTTTTTTTTTGTTATTCTTTCCCGGAAGACTATAAAGACTCACAATGTAGCAAAAGATAATCGTGCTCTTCTTGTGTTATATATTACATATATTTAGGCGCAAAAAAATAACAATTTCAATATACTTTTGTATGGGTTTATGTGAGTACAATATTTCACTTCATATAAATTATTATAATCTTGTTTCTTTTTTGTTACTATAGGATTGAAATCCTTTTTCATAACATTCAGAGAAGAATATTGTATCCTTCCTGGAATGAGATGATGATGTTGATAATAAAAAGAATTCTTTTTTAACTTTTGATATATTATATAATATTTATTGCAGATTCCATGTTTACTATTGTATTTTTCCTCTCTCGTTTTATTGTTGTTGTCGTAATTTAAAATAAATATATATGTATGTACCGTAAGCTTTCGTGTTCTTTCGTATTATTAGTTATTACTGTTGTTTTGTTGTTATTGATGCTATCGTCGTGTTTTTTGCTTTTTAGTGATGAATTTCTTGTATTTTATATTAAGGATGATTGAACTTTACTTCAATTGTATAGACTTGTTGGCTTTATTCTATATTATAATTATATAGTATGAAGATTTTTTTGTTATTGAAATTAAATCAGCGTAAATGAATGATCGGAAAACAGAAATTTCAGAAAAGAATTGTTGAATCTGTTCTGTTGATGGTGTGCCAATGTATAGGAGAAATATTTGATAGTTATTATTATTTTTCTTCTTCCTTTTTGTTTCCTACACTTCTTTTTTAATTATTATTATTTTAGTTTAAATTTAGTATTTGTAATTTGAAGTTGTTCAAACGTTTTACTTGTTATATACTTATAATTTGTATTTTAATTCGTTTTCTATTTAATTGTTTTTATAGTATACCTAGTAAAAACATTTTAAAGGACAATGTCGTGTTAAAAAAATTTAAAACAGAATATTGTTGGAGGCGGTATTGTTATTATTATGTATTACTATTTTAGTCTTGGTTATACGGTTATGGGGCTTTTAAAAATTATTTACACTTATTGTTTTCAAGTTGGTTTATGATTTTTTTGTTTTATTTAAGGAATTTTTATTTTAGTATTTTTTCGTGTCGTATTCTCTTTAATATTTTTCCACTGCTTTTTATTTTTTATTCTCGACGAAACTTTTAATTATGGACCAGCTTTAGGGTATTGTGCATTCTATGTTCTTCTTTGTTTGTGTTTCGCTTTTTTTTTTTTGGAAATATTTTTTAAAAGTTGTGTTTTCTTTGCAAAATTAAAAAGTATGCAAAAGAAAATTATAATATGAACAGTTTTTCTCCTTTCTCGTTTTTTCTTATTTATTTATAATTTCTGGTGAATTTTTCGAATTTGCCCTGTAAGAGAAGAAAAAAAAAAAGAGGAAAAATGAAATTATTTTTGTAAGAAATTTAAAGTAAAAAATATTAAAAAAAAATATTTACAAAGATTTTATTTTTTTTTTATTATTTTTTTACTTCAAAGTTGCGTTGAGGCTGATTTTTTATAACTATATTTTTTATTTTCTTTTATATACTACTATATAAGAATGTTGAGATAATAACAATAAGAATGAAGGACGTGGCCAATGCAAAGAGTGAATGAGAGAACACAAAGTAAGAAGCGTCTGTTATTGGAATGTAGCCAGCAGCAAAATAATAAATCAAACTTCATAAACAAACATAAAAAGTTAGGAACTGGTTCGAAGGTTTTCCCAATTTGTTTAAAAGGTAAAAAAAAAAATAATTCGATTAGATTTTACCAAAATTTACTTTTGTATTCTTTAAATTTATTTTTTAGGGAATTTAATTTCGTTTTCATAAAATATTCAAATTTTGCAGCAAAACAAAATACTATGGGAATTAAGTAAGGTTACGTGAAACAATTTGAAAAAAAAATTGCTAAAATGTCCAAGGAACTTGTACCACGTACTGTGCGTAATGAAGAAATAAATGGAACTGTTTTTTTTTTCGTGATTCCCCTCAATCTTGGCCGCCACATGTTTGAGTATTACTTTCCATAATCCATAAAGTTTTCAGCACTTATAATGTAAAAACAAAATTGGATTTGCCTTACTAATTTCATTGAATAATCTCATAACAATCATTATGCAGCACTTCCATAGTATCTAAATCTAAAATTTTTTTTTTCAAAATTACATTGTATTCATTAAATATTACATTTTTAGTTATATTAAATTCAAAATAACAATAAACCTTTTTAAATAATGACCATCATTTATGGTTCAATGGACTTAATTATAAGTTTAATTTATGTTTTGCATAACAAAATGATAAGCTGTGAAGATAATTAAATTACAATAGTATAAATTATATAGTGTTGATGGTATTTTATACATATATATACATGAAATAATTTATTATTTATTACAACACAAACTTTTCATTGTTATACTCATTAATCATGTAATAAATTTGTAATTCAACAATTATATTTGTATTATGTAGATTAGTACACTATCTAGAATTATGTACACGCCTAGTATTATATATTATATAATTACTAAAACGTATACTTTAATTCTAATTATCATTATAACAGTTAAGGTATAATATGTAGGTATCTATATAGATATTTAATTTTACTATATAAAATATTTAATTATAATGTAGATTGCTTATACCTAAAATTTACAATATTATAGATGTAAGTATGTAAATTTATTTAACTCGTTTGTTTTTGACACTTATAACTTCTTAAAATTAAATTTTCTTTTAATAATTTGTATATAATTTTTTATTATACTTATACCATACTCTGTTCTTTAAATGTACAGGCTATATAATATAAAAAGTATTTAAAGTGTAATATAAATGCTTCAAACTCGTTTTTTATACAGTAAAACTCTTTCAGATTGTACCGTACCGAATTGTGGCGAAAAGATTGTGGCAAAAAGTCGTAGTTCGATATTTTAAGGATATGAAGCACTAATTTTGCAGCTCAACTTCAATAACTTTAAAAGGCTTCATGGAGAGAAGCTGTATGATGAGACAGCTTGAAAGGTTTGGGTAGCTGCTATACAACCATCAAAGCGTATTTTAAATATTGAGAAATTTTTATAATCAGTTTGTCAAAGTACAGAATATTAACATATTTGCTTGTTATGAATTCATTAATTGAAGTGCTATGAAATTTTTTTAGCAAAATTTTCTTCAGAGAAACATGTAAAACGCCACGGTGTAAAATTTTACAACCTAAAAACGATGATAATTGTTTTAAATTCTCAAAAAAACGAAAAACAGAACTCATTATTCATATTTGAAATTTTCATCGAGAAAGCTTTTAATATGCTGAAACATCAATATTCCTATTCTCGCGTCACATTTTCATTTGGAGATTGCTTACACATAGGCAAAGAATTCTATTTTCCAAAAGATTGCTGTACTTACTTACATATACTTTTGATATAATTTTCATTAGATCATATAATAATAATTATTTTTGGAAAAACTTTAAATATTTTATTAAAGTAAAATTTTTCACAAAAATCTTTTGAAATATGAGTGTGGAAAGTTTTAATTGGATATGCGGTTATTTGTAGGTAATTTTTGGAAATTTTAATTAACATATTTTATGTATGTAACTGTTTTCGAAATCAAGTAAAATCTAATTTAAAGTTCATATTGTGTAAATCCTTTAATTTATTATAATAATTATGATAATTTTATTTTAAAAAGCTCAACAAACTTTCAACGAATTATTACATTAAAAATGAAAATATTTTTTATTTAAAAATTATACATTTTCCAAGTTCATGAACAGAATGATGAACAAATATGACGAACAAAAATTATGGTTCATAATTTTATAAAAACAAATATTTTGTTTTGTAAGTTTTGACAATTTGAAAATTTAAATTTTAATAAACGAATTTTGTAAACGTTTGTTGTTTAGGAATATGTCTGATGAAATTTGACTTGAAATGAGTTTCATACACAACAGAAGCTGGCATGTTTTTGCTTTAAAAGCCATGATGCTTTTTCCGTATTCTGTAATGTAATATTTCAAAAAATTCAACTAAAGCAACTGCTCAAGTTCTATTTCTTGCAGCGTCTTTGGTTCATGATTTCTCCTTTCGACTTTTTCCTTAAACTAACATTGGTCCCCCTGCCGATCAATTCCGGTAAAGAAAAAGAAAGAACACAGCAATATAAACTACCCGATATACATATCAGACTGACAAAAAGTGTTTCGAACTGATCATGAATCTTTTATCCGTCTGATTGAATATTTTTGATCCATAAAAAGGATCAAAAATATTTAATGCGTCTGGATATATTTTCCACTTTAGTCTTAAATTTTTATCCTTTCAAGAATTTCTTAAAATTTATTCCTATTGCATATTTGTGTGGAAAATGTTAAAATCCATTAAAGTGTTAAAACACACATTGCTTACATACAATTGAATTTTTTATTTAATCTGTTTTTTTTCCTTTTTAATTTATTTTTCAATTGAATCTAATTGAATAAACAAAGGTTGCTTTAAAATAATAACTTTTTTTTTTTGTTTTTTAACAGGCATAATTTCAAGAGAGGCATACATTTCATACTTATGGTTTATTGCGGTTTTTACTTGTTCAATTTCTAACAAAATTTATTTTTAATTCAAAATTATTATTAAAATTTATGTGTGTAAATAAATTATGTATGTCGGTATATGAAGGTCTCTAAATATCCAAATTCATAATTTGAGTACATCAAAAAATTTACATTTTCTTTCATTTTTGTTGAAATTTTGAAAAAATTGAAAATTTCTTTTATTTTCAAGGTAATATAAAAGAAAAAAGAAAAAAAATATAAAACTGTTTTATTTTTTCTTTTTTCCTCTTAACAAAGTATTTTGAAGAAAAAAAAAATTAATTTATTGTTTACATTTACAGGCACATATCATCCTAAGAAGCAGGATGAGTTCATGTTTGGAGTCTTTACCAGTTAAAGACTGTAATTGAGAGAAGCATGGCATGATAGACATTTGCACAACTAAGAGGTGTCTACAGGATGGAGTTCCTTCTTCACTGATAATGAGCCTGGTGATCGGCTACTTGAGGAGCTTGGCTGTCAGGGCATCAGCGGTCAAGCCTACGTTGACGACATTTGTTATCATAGCTGGTGTAAGAACAAGTTTGGTGTGGCACTGTGGAGCTCAGACTCGAGTAAGACGATCATGGTGCCCTACAATTCATGTATGCAAAGAGACAGAAGAAAGGAAAATGGAGATTAAATACCTACATAATGTAAGTGATAGCAAGTTTATTTGGCGAAGGCACGAGGAAATGGCAATGACAAAGGATACCCGGGTGTTCATGGTGTGCAAGGCCATCTCAGGTAGCACGTGATTAAGCTCCCCGCCTTTCATGAGGTGAATGTATTCCATGATACTCATGTCGCTCCTGACATACGTAGCGCAGTGGCGCGGGAAGAAGAGTGACACTTGAAACAACAAGAAGGAGCCTATAAGTTATATAGGAGTTTCTGCAAACGAAACTTGCATGCAAATACAGTTCTGGGGTAGTCATTATAACCACAACTATTGTGGTCATATTTCGATTCAAAGAATCTAAATCAAAGAGATAAAAAATAGTTCTACAAATTGTATTCTTCGCTCTATTATCTCTTTTTCTTTGATCCTTTTTCAATTAAAATAATAAAAGGAAGAGGAGTGAAAATATGGTATGCACGCGTTTTGAAATAATAATTGGGTTCTGTATAATAAAAATTTTAATGTTTATGAATATGTAAAATATTTCATCGCATGTGTAACCATTACTGTATTTTATAAAGAGAAGATATATGGATAAATTACTCTTTTATATTTTGTATTTGTTGTTCTGTAGGGTTTGTAACAGAAAAAGGTTTAAAAAATAAGAAAAATAAATGAAAAAATAATTTTGTATCTTTAATTTAATGGAAATTTTTAAAGTTTTTTTTTTATTAAAATATAAAAGAAAAGATTATAACAGTTTCTATACAAATTTAAAAATAATTTTAAAGGAATAAAAATATTTAATTTATATATTAAGTACCTCTGTATGAAATCGCATATTAAGTTATAAAATACGCCAAAGAAATTAGAAATTCAACTGCATATGTGCTTTGATAATTGAGTTAATTGAATAGATACTCTAGTGTAGTACAATTTAAATTATATCAAAGTGTTTAATTGTGTAGTACTTGAATATGTTCAAGTGTATATGCTTACGCTAAAACTTATCTAACAAAAGCTTTGAATTTAAAAAAAATCTAAGAGCTCTTCTTTTATGTTTATAGTTTTATTTAGTTAATTTTGTCACTCAATAAATCATTGAATAATTAAAAAAAAATAATTTGAAAAAAAAAA